ATAAATAAATAAATAAATAAATAAATAAATAAATAAATAAATAAATAAATAACAATAATAAAAATCTTAATCAAACTGCAAAATCAAAGACAAGGAAAGAATCCTGAGAGCAGCTCAGGAAAAATGAAAAGTTACCTAAAAAGGAGAACCAATAAGACTAAGTTCTGATTTCTCAACAGAAACCATGCAGGCAGGAAAGCAATGGGATGACATCTATAAAACTCTGAAAGAAAAAAATAGCTAATCAAGAATCATATGCCCAGCAAAGCTGTCCGTCATAAAAGACAGTGAGGTTAGGAAATTTCTAATTAAGCAGAAATTTTAAAAAATTTAATAAGACCAATTTTACAGAAAATCCCCACTTTGGACTGAGAACCAGCAACAGAAGCCAACAACCTGTGATTAACATATATGATAATATCATCCAGAGCTCAATCCAGATATAGAAGTATTTAAAGTAAAACAAACCTCCAAGACAGAAAATAGGGAACCAGAGATATCAATTTATAATGAAATTAACTATAAAGCAAAAAGGGAATAGTGGAGATACAGAATTTCCAAATGGCATGGAAGTCAAGGTAAAATACACTGTATTTTTGTTTTGTTTTAAGGTAAAGGTAGACTGTTTTAAACAGGAAAAAATTAATAAATTACAGGGTAACCTCATAGAAAATTAATACACCTTCACATCAACATGAAAAGGAAAATCAGAAAGATTTCTTAAACATTAGCACAAAAGAAATGAAAAGAAAACCCACAAGCAGATTGAACTCTGGGCAGAAAATTATGTGGAACAAAGAAACCAGCAGTACCATAAAAAAATGACAACAATATGACAGCAATCAATTATATCTATTGATGATTACACTGAATTTAAATGGAGTAACTGCACCAGGAAGAGACAGAGCAGACCAGAAAAGAAGATCCTTCAATATACTGTCTACAAGTGATAAATCAAAAAGATAGAGACAGCCTAAATGCTCATCAACTAGAAAATGGTTAAACAAACGTTGACACATATACACAAAAGAAATAATATGCAATGCTGAAGAATAACAATTAATCTGCTAAACACCTCACAACATGGGTGAACCTGGAGGACGTTATACGGAATGAAATCAATCACAGATGGGCAAATACTGTATGAGACCAGTGTTGTAAAAAGTTAAGAAAAGGTATTCTCGATAAAGAGAAACATTCTAAGACGGTTATGGGAGGGGGAAGCAGGGAGGGAAAATTATCCAGAGGTTAGTATGGGTTAATATGGGTTACAGGACAGGCAATATATAACAAGAAGGTTAGCAGTGGAAAGATGAAGGTAGAGGGAGACAGAAATGCAAGAGTTAAAGTGAATATAGGTAAATGCTGTTAACTGACAGTACATGGAGGGATTTGCTATCATTGAATTGAAGCTAAGTATATGATTTATTGTATGCAAAACTGACCTGTTCTGTAAACCTTCACTCAATTCACAATAAAAAGTAAAAAAAAATCCTTTTTCAAAAAGTGGAACAATCAAAACAATGACTTACAGGGAGATCAGCTGGGTCAGTAATTTAAGGCAGAGACGTCAGTGCAGAAGGTTATGGTGAATGTATTCTGGAACTCCAAATGGGTAATCTTGATATTATTTTCTCAAAGGGCACAGTATGATCATAGGGACTTAGGAAGAAAATTTAAGACAAGTGAAACACTTCATTGGTGAGAAAAAGTCCAGGAAAGTTGCGCCGAGGAGATTTATCCCATCATGACAATGCACCTGCTCATTCTTTGAAGACAGGTGCAGTGAGTTATGCATTGGGTTGTTAACTGCAAGGTTGGCTGTTCAAACCCACCAGCCAATCTCTGGGACAAAGATGAAGCTGTCTGTTCCCATAAAGAGTTACAGTCTTGGAAACTCTTTTTTTTGGAAACTCTTTAAGGAGAAGTCTTATTCTGTCCTATAGGGTCGCTATGAGTTGGACTGAATGAGAGTGGAGCTTTTTTTTTTTTATTCAAAGGAAGGAAGGACTGTCCTCTGAGGATTTGGGAAACCTTACTCCATCCTTCCTATAGCTTTGATCTTGCCTCTTCAGACTTCTTTTTGCTCCCAAAACTCAAAGAAAGAGAATCAATGTAGCCAAAACACCACTAAAATTCTGTGCATCAACAGGATGTTGGAATAAGGCAGAAAAACATGGTTTGAGTTACGTGAGAATACCACTGCTGTTTTGATTGGAAGGCACCCTAACAAGAAATACAAGCCAGGACACAAGTATATGCACGCCAATGTTTACTGCAGCACTGTTAACAACAGCAAAAAAGATGGAGACAGCCTAAGTGCTTACCAATGGAAGAATGGATAAACAAACTTTGGCACATACACACAACAGAAT